TTATCTCTCAAATAGATAAATATTTGAGAGACAATATTTATCCTGTGTGACATCAATAAAGTTTCTTATCTTAAAATACAAGCCACAATTAAAGGCTTGGCCGCGCACTATTACAGGTTAGCATTAGCTACAAGTTAGCTTGAATACATGTTCAAGTTAACTGTCTCTGAAATCAGACAAAATATTTTATCAGAACTGCATAGCTTTTCCCACAGCTTCAGTTGGTCTTTGGGAAACCTAAAGAATGAACATGTGTCGCGTAAACTGTGATGATTACAGCCGAAAACAAAGCAGAGCATTATGCACCATTCACTTAAACCGCCTCTTCGAACAGCTGACGGTTTTTTTGTATCCGAGCAATGAACCGGAAGTGCTTCTGGGACGAGACTTTCCAGCCCTATTAGAGTCAATGGAGAGGCCAGGACCAAATTCAAATGTAGTGCCACCGAAAAGGTTGAGAGGGCGCCACACAGACGTTTTTAGGCTCAAAAGTGAGATTTTATCTAATCTGCACTCAAATGTCAAAAAAATGACCAGGATATGTAGAGAGCACCACAATAAACTTTTATACAGTTTGAGTTAAAAAATTATTTATTTGGTGTTTAGTCGCTCTTTAACATCCAGACTAAAGCACCAGAAATGCAGCGCTAACCAAAGCGCTCACTAACAAAACCAGTTTACAAAAAGATATTACAGCCAACTCAAAATTATATTTACCTTAAACAAACGTGGGTTTTTAGGACGGAGCCCCCAACTTGTTAAGCCTAGTTTATACTCGCGCGGCGCGGAGCTTACGGAGGTGACGTGACGTCACTTGCCCAACGCGTTGGTCACCGCAAGGCCCTTACGTCGCCTGCCGCGCAGCATCGAAATTTTCTAACTACGTAAGGGTCGCCGCAAGGAATCTCCGCTGTGATTGGTCCGTGTGTGTGTATTGGAAGGAAGCACAGAGCGGCTGCAGCAGGAGCATGGGCGAGGCACTATGGAGCAGAGAGCTTTGTGCTTCGAAGGAAAAGCAGTTTGGGCTCAGAGCCTGATATACAGGGGACTGTGGACTATCTAACACAGTGGTTCTCAAACTTTTCACACCAAGTACCCCCTCACACCAAGTACCCCCTCAAATGACCAACACCACACAGTAGCGCTCTAAGCCGAAGTATTCATCAAAAACAAGGCAGAGGTTTAATTCCTAAAGAAGTATATTTAATGTAATGTTTTACACCGTTTCAACAGTAAGACTGCGCTTAAATATAGGAAAAAATGTTTTTTAAATGTTTAATTCATTACAAACTGCAAAGCCTCACTGTGAATGATATTCTGGAGTGGGATCTTTGTCCACAGAAGGTTTGGACTCTGGTGCACTTTAGTTTCTAAGGCTTGCTCTGCTGCCCTCTTACATCTGTCGTTTACTCACAGAGACATGTTCATATGGTTTGGATCAAATGATCTTTTGTTGATCTCTGTTCCTTTTGCACAGAACTGGGAAAAAAAAACTTTTGTTTTTGCTGCTCCTTCTACATGGAACGTGTTGCAAAAAGACTAGAAATTATCTGATCTTATTTCCTTGAATGCTTTTAGATCCAGATTGAGACATCTTCAGTGAAATGTAACTGTTTTTATAATCCGTAATTTTATGAAATTGTGTGTTACTGTTTTATAACCTGTATGTGACCGTTTTATCATCTGTATGTGACTGTTTTATAATTTTATGTAATTTTTGAACACGAAAAAGAGGTTCTCATTGACTGCCAGCCATTTTTTTATGACTTCACTGATTTTTAAGACTCACAGAATATTGTGTGCTATGAAAAATATGAAACCAGAGTCTGAAAGACAGGACTGTCTACTTTCAGCAGCAAAAATAAGTTTGTTCTTAGTTTGTTTCGTTCTCCTGTGATCTCCAGTCGAAAAGAGGGGAGTGTGACAAAAAGCACCAGTCTTAGACAAAAACATGAGAAAATGAGGTGTTTGTGAAAACAGACGAACCTGCAGAAAAGGGATTGTAAAACTATTTAGTTTGACTTTAGCATCTCCTCAAACATGTCCAGGATCACACATGTTAGAAAACAGCAACAACACATTATGAGAAAGTTTTTTTGATGCAAAATAATACGTTTTATGGCACACACTCACATCCACAAAGTGTTGCTCAAATATTTCAAAATGTACTCATCCAAAAAATGTCAAAATGTACATATTGAAAGTAGAGCCCATGACAAACTATGGCAGATAGAATGGCCAGTATTCATCCATTAGGTGGCGCTATATTTATGTCATCAAGAGTAAATCAGAGATAAGCAAAATAACAATGATAAACACTATAAATGACAATAAATCAAAGTGAATACTTATACTATAATTATAAGTGCAATGGAATACTGCTGTGTGTCTTTGTGTGTTTGGGCGTGCATGTATGTGCGTTAATGCACGCATTTGTGTGTTTTTGTGTGGTTACATCTACAGAGCGTCTTTTTAGTCTGTGACCATAATTGGACTTTGCTGCTGGCTCCTGGTGTGGACTCAGTGATAGTTTTAGCAATAGTCCACTTTTCTGTGGCTTTTTTGGGGTGCTCCGCTGGTCTGCTGCTCTGACCCTCCACATGGTCTGCTGCTCTGACCCTCCACATGGTCTGCTGCTCTGACCCTCCACATGGTCTGCTGCCCTGACCCTCCACATGGTCTGCTGCCCTGACCCTCCACATGGTCTGCTGCTATGACCCTCCACATGGTCTCTGTCAGCTCTGGAGACACATTTACTGCTCAAACTGCCTCCAAATGTAGCCTGACCCTGACTATATTACTCCATGTCTGCTTCACCTCTGTCTCTCCTGCTCAGAGTGCTCAGAGTGATCTTTGACCAAACCAGGGAGTTCTGCTGCCACCTGCTAGCTTAATAAAATACTGTCTACAGCCAAACCCCAGACTGTATGATACAGGGGACACAGACTGACAGGAAAAGATTGAAAAACAATGTTGTCCTCAAATGACATCCATGGCTGAGAATGAGTTAATCTCAATGGGACTTTCCTGGTAAAATTTAAAAAAAAAAAAGTATTTTTTTTTTCACAGATTTTTTTTTTTTCACAGATTCTATGGCGTACCCCTAGAAGGCGCCCGTGTACCACTAGGGGTACGCGTACCCCAGTTTGAGAAACCCTGATCTAACATATATATAACTTATAAACTGTGCAGTCGTTTGTTTTGCACTGTTCCTGTCTTTGTTTGAATCGTAGCTACGTTTGTTGCTTTCCTCCTGCACTCGTAAATCGTTCATGTTTGTCTCAGATATTTACCACCATTATTGTTTTGCTGTTTGTGCTGAAAACTATTTAATAATAACTACGTTTCCAACAAGAACTGTGTCTTTATTCACAGCATCACAGTTGAAATGACTTATAAAATAATGAATCCATAAAACTATCACATAAACCTACAGTAGAAACACGTGTAATGAGCTCAAACAGCTTTGTTTGCTATTGTTGTTCTGAAGAGGACAAAGTAGCAGCGTAAATGGGACCGCTCCTGTGTGATCGCCCTCATGTGGTTTGTTGTGGGATTACAACATTCTCCTCAAAACTCCGTAAGGGGAACGCGGCAGTATAACATCAATTGTGCTTACGTAGGTCCACCGCAACCGCTAACGTAAGCCACGCCGCGCAAGTATACACTAGGCTTTACGGGCCTTCATAAGACGAGCCCCCAACTTGTTACCACTGGCTCAGGGCCATAACAAATAGGGAGGCGAAACGGGGGTAAAAAGTGCAAAAAGTATATTTAATTATAACATGAGATGAGTATAACATGAACAAAAACAAGGTATGAGCATGTAGTAATTAGTGTGTGGTGCAGGTGTATGAGTGCATTAAAAGCCAGTGTGTGGTGTGCAGTGAATGTGGTGCATAAACAAAAGACAAACTAAAATGTGCACAAAAAGGATTTAACATGTTGGCTCCAGGTAGAGCCCACCAGGACAGGACCAAACGAGACAGGAGAGAGTGAGCAGCTCTCAGCTCACAGCTGAAAAGGTCCACTGATGAGGGGTGTGGCATGGTGCAGGTGTGACCCTTTACAAAGGAGGAGACGGCAGAGAAGGCAGACAAACAGAGACAGCACCCTCTCCTGGACAGTAAGGGCCTGGCCCATAACAATATCCTATTATACATACACTGTATAAATAAAGTAATAATAATAATTGTTGATAGTGACTTAAATGACTTCATCATTTAAGTTAATTTAGAATAATAAATGGGGGGTGGGAGATTTAAAGTCTTAACTTCTCCCCACTCCTTTTTAAACTGGATTTTTGTTAATAAAACAAAACATTCTTGTGTTTCGTGAACCTGGCCAGTAGGAGGCGCATGAGCAGAGATGGGACAGTTTTGCTCCCATTGAAAACCATGTAAAGTCTGTTTGGAGTCAAAAGGCTCTCCTCCTGTACGGTGTACGTTGTAACAGTCATAATCGGGGACACTCAATTCTAAGGGAGTACTAAAAAATATTTCTCAAGAATCTTGATTTTGGGTATTTTTGGAAAATGTAACAGGACAAATTGCTGCGTTTCATTGGGGTGGCCTGCAGGGGGCGCTTATCTGGGAAAGCCTTCATCCACCTCGCCTGCCTCATTTCAGTGATTATTTTCAAAGTGTCCTACTTTATATGAGACCAAAGTTGGAACACGGAACAAACTCTTGTCTTTCTCTCTATTTGCACGGTTGCTACAAGCGTACACCGCACAAAAAGAGGGCATTTTGACAGCGCGTCTTCTATATCTCCATGTATAAACCCGGCAGACTGCAGTGTACGTCACGTCCAGTCCAGTCCGGTCCTGTCCCACGTATGTCATTCGCGCCACTGCCCCGACATCATATGAAACCCAAGAATACTGTATATTTGTATAATATCATGTATTGTTACTTTTTCTATTTTTGTTGTTCTTTGTTATTGTTTGCTATGGCTCAAAACAAAGTATTAATTCATTCACCCTTCTGTTGTGTGTCCAGGTGGGTCCATGTGATCTGTGCCATAGGCGTGGCTGAGGCCCGCTTTGTCAACGCTCTTGAACGTGAACCAGTGGACGTCAGTGCTGTCCCTGAAAAACGCAAGAATCTGGTGAGTTTTTATGTTTATGTTTAAGTTTAGCACATGCACAAATACAAAAGTAGAAAATAAAATTGTGTTGGAGTGGGACAGAAACAGCTTCAGATTCAGTTCACTTGCCATTTTCAGTAAAACCACATTGGAATACATTTGCAAAGGTCTCGTCCTCTGGTCTTTTCATCTGGTCTCTGGGTTAACTCCTTTTGCAAATTGAAACGATGGCATCTGAGTTTACTGTGACGTGTGTAATGTGCTCGAGTGAGTGAGCCTAGCCTTAACATTTAGCCTAGCTTTAGCCATCTCCTTTGCCACTAACGGAACTCTAGCTCCAGCATCAATTTCTTTCTTTCTCCTTATTTGGAGCTGAAGCAGAACAGATCATTTTTCTATCGCATTTTCCGCCAAACTACAACCAGCTTATATGGTGCAGACTCTTGACGTCATCGACACCGACCTACAACACCCGCCTCCCCCGCTCTCTGACTGGTTGGAGGGGATTCAACCGAGGAAACTGCAGCCACATCGATCAGACCCAGACATACATGTAGGAAATGATCATGGACCACAGTTTACACATGGTAGGACTGCACTCTCATGAACAAGAAGCAATCCATACATTTGTGCCAAGCTTTGAAGCATTTTTGTTTTTTACCATGACAATTCTCACAGCCATTATTCGTGCTTATGCATTATATATATATATATATATATATATATATATATATATATATATATATATATATATATATATATATATATATATATATATATAAAATTTTTTTTTTTTTTTTACAAATCTCTGCAGAAATAGTGGCCCCTCTTTGTTGCCTTTGCTCTCAGTAATCCATCAAAGACGGACCAGTGTGTGAGTATTGCTGGTTCCTGAGCTGATCTCGGGTGAAACTAGTTTTTGCTGCAGTTCATTCTCTTTTCTGTGATAATTTGGTGCACAGAATAAGATGAAAGCTTTTCCAGCCACGTAACAGAACATATTCTCGCTGCATGGAAATGGTGTAAAGTGTAAAGGAAGCTACAGTATATACGTAATAATTACTCTGACTCTGAGGAGCACAGGGACTGCTTATTCGAAGTGCACAGCGTCTAGACCATGATGGAAATTGATGTATTTCTATCCCCCGGGCCAGTAGGGGGCTGTAGAATTTTACAACACGACACACATCCTCCTCAGGCCGCCGCAAAGACGGGAAAGAACCAACCAAGAATCTTTCTTTAACAGCAGCCGTGAAAAGTGAAACTACAGCTGTGGTTTGGTTTGGGCGAAGGAGTAGAATCCTCCTTCGTCAGCGAAGCACACGTAGCATTGGTCGATCCCCCGCCATTGTTGTTTACGTTCTACTGCGTCCAAATGTACGTGGGGGAAGTGCAGAGGTCATCACGGAAACGGCCCCCGCCGCAGCATCTGTTTCTCAACGCTAACGTTTGCCTTGTCATTGTGAGGTTGTTTTGGTTCTTTTTAATCTTTATTTTTACTCCCTCTTTTTGACGCGTTTTTGAGTGGACCCCATGAGCGGCAGTAACATCTTTGATAATAGCCTGAGAAGGTAGAAGTCTAGAAAAATTGTGATAAAGTTTAACTTGTGACATGATTCTAATCAATCAATAAATGTTTTATCTCACAATGGAGAAATTCAGTTCAATGAATAAACATCAAGGCTGGCTGCATACTCTATTTTCATATTTTCGTGCTCCTTATGACAGTTATTCAACAGCAGAGAGCAAAACAAAACATATTTCAACAGACATTATTGGAGAGAAACTTTACATGTGGAAAACATGCGTATCACTGTTTTAAACTGTTCGCAAATAAACTTGAGTTGGAGAAAAGCGGCTCACTTCTAACAGAGTGACGCAAGGCGACAGGAAGTGTCTTATTTGGACTTAGTCTGAACCCAGACTAATGCTGAACATAAGGGTCGGGCTTGAGCTTGAAGCAGATAAACTTGCACACTGCAACATTATAATAGTGAGAACCAATAGATTCCTAAAACACCCATTTTATTTTATAGTATTTCATATGATGTCATAAATTGCATGCAACATGCAATTAAGGCTGAGTTTACACGGAGACAATGTGGCAGTAAAACGGTATAGTTGGATGTCGGTTGCTACCAACCGTTCATACGAAGACTGTGTTCCAGGGGGGTGAAAACGTAAGTGTTCAGATCCAGCCTGCAAAGTGGGACAACTCAGAAACGCTGCACAGCGGGGGCTCTCTTTCACACCAGCGAGAGGGGAAAGGTGTGAAATCCCCCTCTGCTTTGACCCCCACCTCCGCGCTGCTCCCCGCACGTAAATTTGGACATGCGCAGTAGCGGAGAACAAACAAAAACAATAATGGCGCCGCGCACACTAACTAGCTACGTGGGCTTCCAGCGCGGCACAGAGGATAACTCTACTCCTTCGTTCGTCCAAACGAGAGCATGCAAAGCTCTAGGTTCAATTTCTATTTTCACAGCTGCTGTTAAAATGCAGAATGATGTTGGTACGTTCTGAGCATCTGGCACAGGAAGTGAGTACACTGCCGAGAGGGGGGCTGGGCACGGGGCTGGGGGTCGTGTGTCGTGTTGTAAAGTTTCTCTGCCCACTACTGGCCGGGCGCTAGAACTACATCGTTTTTCAATCTCATGTGAACGCTGAGAAATTTGCATTAGGAGCCAGGTCGTTTCTGTTAATAGCTTGGAAACGTCTGCGCAGCGTCTCAGTATAAACAGGGCCTAATTTTAGAATTTGAAATTAGCCTAAAAGATGTTGGTGTTTCACATTAGTGTGTCGTCAGGTGGGTCTCAGGAACACACAGGAATAAGATGCTAAACCAATCCCTTTACAAACCCAGCACAAAGGTGAGCATGTTCCTGCACAATGCATTTTACTCTCCCTCAATGTTGTAGTTATTAATATTTGTTATTATGAGGTTTTTACCAAAGATATATGTGATAATAATATGTTTTGTACTCTAGTGTATTTGTGCGAAAACAAACCCTTCATGACGTGAAATATCTCTGGACTGAGTCCGATTGAAAACTGCTGCACATTTCTCCGGCACCAACACAAAAATGAAGTATTGACACTTTAATAAAGAATTTTATTTTTATTGATCGGCTTCAGCTGCTGGTCCAGAGATTTGTCAAAACCAGGAGATGCGGGAGGGAAGGATGTGAAGAGGAGGATGAGTGAGAGCGTGTTCGGTGATGGATAGTAACGATAAAGAAATGCTGCAACACAATTCAGATGAAAACCGACAATCGACAATGCGCTCGAGATGTGTTGCTCCAGAGAGATTCATGGATGTGCGAGGTAGTCTTTCAAAAGACAAAGTTTGATATCAGTACCACAAAATAAATTAGGTCTGATTTATTTATATACAGTGCCTTGCAAAAGTATTCACCACCTTGGCATTTTGTGTGTTTTGTTGCCTCACAACCTGGAATCAACATAGTACCAACCCACCACACATTTTCACCCTCAGAAACACCTATTTACCCCCATCACCCCATCTCCCTTATCACCCCCCACCCCCCCCCCCCCCCCATTTGTTCCCCCTCATCTCCTCTCTCATTTTCCCATTTCCCCCCCTTAACCCCACCCCCCTACCCCCCACCTCCTCCCTTTCCACCCCCAATCCTATCCTCCCTATACCCCCATCATCCTCCCTATCATATCCTTCCCCTACCATTCCTAAATCCCCCCCTCTCTCCCCCCCCCCTTATCACCTCCTATTCAATTTCTCATACCATATTCCCTATCCCCCCCCCCCCCTACCCCCCCCTAATTTACACCCCACCCTCATTACTATAAATTCTTCCTTCCCCAAATCTAATCCACCCCTCCCCCCCCCACCCCCACATACTTCTCCACCCAATCCACACCCCCCTATTCCTATTCAAATCAACCCCACACAAAACACCCCCACCCCACCCTAATAATAATAATCTCCTCTCACACCCCACCCCCTCCCCCATAACAACCCCCAAACATTCACACCCCTACTTACATATAACAATTACCTTCCCCACCCTACAAAAAAACCAACCCCCTCCTCTACCTCTAAACACCCCCCCTAATAACCCAAATTAACCAACATTCCCCCATCCAACACCCCCCCACCCAATCATACTCCACCCAATATACCATTCTCCCCAACCTCTTTCCATTCCCCATCCACATTTCAACCCTCCTATTTCCCTACATTCCATCCTTCAAATCAACCCATACTACTATACTATATAACAACATTTCCCCAATAAACCACAGTTACCCCTCAAATCAACACCAAATTACCCCCCCCCATATTAATTTTTCAAAATACACCCCCTAAACCATCACCCCCCAAAATCCCCCCCCCCCTTTAATCTCACAATCTATCTCCCCATCAATCTTTCTCAACACCCCCTATTATATAAATACACCAAAAATCACCAATCACCCCCCCCCCCTAACCAAAAAAACCCCCCCCCTCATCCAATCACAAGATAACCCCCACCACAACCCCTTACCATTTATCCTTTACCACCCCAAAAAAACCATTATACCCAATCATTCCATCACAAATTACTTCATAAATTTCATATTTCCCTTATAAAAAACAACCCTATCTAACCACCCTTATCCCACACCCCTTTCCCTACTATTCTTCCATCATATCCCCCCAACAACCCAATCCTAACCTTACATATCTCTCCCCTCTACAACTATAAAACCTATACCCCCAACAAAACCCCCCCCACAAAACACCATACCCCAACCCAAACCCACCCCACACCATATCCCACCCCTTGCAATTCAAAAAACCCCCAACATACAAATCCCCTAATCTTTACCACCATAATATCCCAAACACCATCCTTTACCTACTAAACCGTTGTATCCCAATCCCCCAATCCTCCATATAATTCAATATACCACCCCACATTTTACCCACTATAGCTCTACCATCCAACTCCCCACCCTATCACATGCACGATGGCCACAAATCCTCCACCCCCACCACCTCT